TACTTACAGCAATTATATTTTAGGTATGCTATTTGGATATATACTTACTATAATTTAAGGAAAATTGTAGTTTAACCAAAATTTCAAGTGTTTATTTCAGGATTGTGTTCTACAAAATAGATGTGTAAAATGTATAAAAATATGTTTTGGGTGTGTTTTGTTTTCATTGCAAACTAGAGTGGTAATTGAACTTGTGGGATATTTTGTAGATGTGTAAGACTACTGTAAATATAATCCCATCAGTAAAATCAGGTTTTTTAGTGTTGTGAGTGCATGTTTTAAGTACGCATTCATCATCGTTCACAAGAGTAAAAGTTGTAGCATACTACAGTTTAACACACAGTTTGCGTTTGTAAGTAGACCTTTTGTAAAGATTGATTCTTTTTAAGATGGAAAACAGTAAGGAAGTTTCTATATTTGTAAACTGTTTACAAAGAAAGAGTTTAATCCTGTTTACAAGCTTTCCTGCCTTGCACAATATATGTCATTTGACATCTTTTTGTTGATAATGTTTAAATTTTTTTTTGTATGCACAGTAACAACAAGGGCCATGAAACTTTTTTGAAGAAAGGAGGTGGTAGTTGTGAAACTCTTGGAAACCATAGGGGTTTGGATCAAATCATTCTGCCCCAAGAAGTCTCTTTCTTGCTGTTGTCATGGGTCTTACTTCTGAGCTTTTGTTCCACTATGTAGGATTAGTTGCTGTCAGGTAAACCTTTTTTCCTTATCTTTGAAAAGCCATTCCTTACCATCTGTACTGTCCATGGTTTTGTCCACTTGGGCTTGACAAGCTTAATTGGAATTGGAGGGGTAATGTTTGAATGAAAATGCCGTCTTTTCCTCTTACTTGGGTTTCTTGGCTTAGCCTTCAGAGTTCAGGAGACATGTTATGAAAGTGACTGTCTCTAGAGGGTGATCAGCCTCTTAAGACCTGTACTTTTAGGTCCTCAAAATAGCTTCAGTTATTAGTTTATAAGAGCTTACTAAATCATGACAAGAAAGAATCTCTGGATGTAGTGTCCCCTCCATAATTCTAGATGAGCTCCACCTCTGTGTAGCATTGACAGCAAATGATGTCAAGATTATTTAGTTAGATGGAACCCACAGAGTGACTGACTTTAGTGAAAAGGCTGAATTTTAAGATCATCTGTGGTGTACTTAAGAATACGAAGAGGCTAAGGGCAAACAGGGACAGTTAGTGTCTGGTTTTTTTTTCCTTCTGGCTACAGTAATATTTGCCATATTTGAGGGAACAGCTTTGATCTTCATAATAGGTTTCCCTTTCTCAGGGAAGGTAGTTGTTACATAGAACTACCTGGACTGTACGTACAGGAAAGCTGTTTGAGTAGTCTTGCAGATTACACAGAGCATAGTATTAACTATAAATTTTTCATTCTTCATGTATTTTCTTATAGAGAAATTATGGAGTAAGGCATGACAGATTCATTAAAGTGTTTCTTAGACTAATTCTCTCTGCTTTATAGTTTTGGGATAGCCAACTGGGTTGTGGCTAATAGTACCTCTCTGGCTTTAGAAGTCAAGAAAAGAAGCATGAAGTTGTTATTAACATTCATTTTACGTTGTCCTTCTAGATAGTTTAGAGGAGGCTGGAAGATTATTAGTATCAATATTGAATTTGAAACTGTTTTAGTAGTATAGGATATAATGTGAAAATTTGGCCTTTTAAACAATACATTAATCACAAGGTTGATTCATTCAAACAAAATAGAGAAAGCTTCCTTTATTTGTATATCATTCATTCAATAAATGTAGCTAAGTGTTAATAATGTTTGTCCAGTTCAGGAAGATTATGTAATTGAAGCTAGAAAAAGTAGTATGCCTTCTCTTAGTATTATAAATTAGGAGGCTTTAGAGGTAATTTTTTGTTATTTTCATTCAAGAAAGTACATGGATGGTCTTTAGCATATTTGTTAGATTTATATAAACATTAGTGGACAATTAGTAGTTTTAAGTAATGCAACTTTGAAAATAGTTCTTGTTTGCCCATTGTGAAGTCAGCAAAAAAGTAAAGATGTTACTAGTAAGAACAGATGACTGAGCTAAAATATGAATTACAATTAGTATTAGTCTATCAGTGTATTGTGAAAACTATTCAGTCATAGTCTGCCCAAGCAATGATTTCATTTTTTTAGCTTTTCTAGTTATAAAAA